CATATTTTGTTGATTGACTTATCACTTCTTTTAGTCAGTCATTAATGTCAAGGATAATCAATTCCTTAATGTTTTTGCTCTGCAATTGATTAATTGGCATCCTTTTTTGGCTTTCTATAATTGCATTGACCTTTTCACTGGCCTACTAGAAACTGTTATTTTTTCTGTTCGTAATGGTAATTTTAATTATTGCTGGATTTTTTTTTTAGCTGGAACTTTGGCACCAAAAGGATTGCTTATAATGGGAAAGGAATCATCCCATATTCCCATTTCATCATTTCATGTTTTACAGCTTATTATTATTATATATTATTGTTATTAGCTAGTGTTTTTACAACTTACTCTTGCGCAAAAAAGAAGAAAAAGGTCATAAAAGAGCAAGCTTAGTGTAATACGCTGATTTTCTTAATTTATGAACTTTGAATTAATTTCTTAATTAATCATATTTTTTAAAATTAATTGATTTTTGAAAATCAAAATCTTAAAATTTAAATTTAAATAAGTTTTTTTTAATTTGTAATTTATTGAAAATATTTAATTTTTTACAATTAATCATTTCAAAACTCTGGATATTATGTCTAAAGGAGCGATTAATTAAGGATTTTCTTACGACCATTTTCGACTCAATTGAAAACTCAAAAAACTTTATTGTGGTTTTTTTTCTGAGACTAAAATGAAAATTTGGAAAAGAAAAGGGACCAAATTATCAGAAGTTCAGAAGAGAAAGAACAGAAAACAAAATTTGTCAAATTAAAATGAACAAAACGCACAAAAGTCAAAGTGTTTCTTCCGTCTCCCTCCTTTTATAGCCCGATTAGGGCCAAGTTGGCGATCACAGAGTGGATTCTCCTCAAAGCCATCAATTGACCACGGGGAAAGCTCAATTCGGTGAAGGCCACAACCAAGGGAGGCTCCATTCTCTGCTACGTGGCCGATTTTTCCATGCTTGTACAGAAATGGTGGACTAGAGGTCATGATTTGTGATTTTCTTCTTTGTCCACGATGTCCCCTGATGATATTTCTTAGTGGCTTCAGTGGACTTAATTCAAGAAATGTTGGTTTCCATCTAATCCATTCAGTTTTTCAACCCTTTCAATGATGCATGTTGTCAAGAGAGACGTGAATGCCACGATGAGCTTTTATTTATTTATTTATGGGTTTAT